TTTACTTAAAAAGAAACTCAATTCTCGACTTTCCCCCCCCCCCCCCCCCCCCCCCTCCCTCCGGCTTCGGTAACGCCTAATGATTAAGCGACCCTTTCCCGTAAAAACATTCAACCTTCTCGTATTCCTCTATGAGAGCATCAACAGGAACGAAATTTGGCGTACTTCTAACCTTCTTGACACAGAATCGCTCCAGAAAATTTGAAGCTTCATCTCCCCAGGGTTGCGGAGAACCCTGAATCTCGCTCTTTAAAGAGGTGAATTTCATACCGGCATTTTTTTTCTCTCCTCCTTGGGTAGCCACGCCTGGGGGGGTTTCGGAGGAACGAGACCACTGAAAAGAAAGATATTGGGTGACATGCACCAGATCCGTTTAACTCTAAACTGATTCCCATAGGGGACCATTGATCAGATTAGTTTAGCTTAAACGGATTCTGTGCACGTCACCCATTGACTTGCAGATGATGAAAATCGCCCTTTTTGCTGCTCGCGATCGACCATTTCACCATTTAAAAAAATTAAATTAATCGCTGTCGTTCATCTAGGTTTAGTTTGCTGGCTCCAGTCCCGTCCCACAGTGTTCCCGGATATCGTGCTGGAGTTATGGCAGATTCATGACTGCTTCGGCTTTCGTATCGGTATCTGGAGTTTCTAGTTTTTAATGCACGAGGCATATTTTTTTTTTTTTTACCGAGTACATGAGATGAGCAGAGATTGAAACGGTGGCTAGCAGTGGCCGATCGAAGTTGTGGGAAACGGAGATAATCTCATTCGAACATGCCCAAATGAACAGGATGGCGCTCAACTTGCATTTCAAGCTTCTCGGAGGCATTCCCTCCTCAGACCTAATCGAGATGGTTCGAGGAACTCCAGAGGGTCCTAACGTTCCGCGTCCGCACTGAAATGATTCATGAAACGCGAAGCAGGTCTCAAATCGGTGCGACATTACACGTCCTCTATGAACGTTCGTGAAAGTCGGAATAGGCCTGGGATCAATCTAATGTTACTCGTTCTCAACGAGATGTCTCGAGAAACACGGATTGACTTTGGGTCCCGTAAGTCGAGAATTGAGTTTCTTTTTAAGTAAAAAAATGCAGGTCTAGGTTTAACGTTAGTGAGTCTCGTAGAGAAGGAGTGGGGGGGGGGGGGGGTCCGTAAGTCGAGAATTGAGTTTCTTTTTAAGTAAAAAAATGCAGGTCTAGGTTTAACGTTAGTGAGTCTCGTAGAGAAGGAGTGGGGGGGGGGGGGGAAGGAAGCTGTTGAAGGAAAGGAAAACCTTTGAAAAATGGTTTCCACATTACCTGTACTTCGTTCCAACAATTGCTATACCCACCCTATTCGCCGATGTAACACCGAGTCATTTTTATGTGTTTCGATCTCGGAAGGAACGTTTGCGTCGGAGAGATTCCAGGATGACGATACTATGAGACGCAAGAGCGAAGGATGGTTTGTAGAGTCGTCAAAGAATGGTTTAACACTCACGTGGAAATGCTAAAGGGACGATGGGAGAAGTGCTTTGTTTTTGAGGGAAAAAAATAATCTTATTGAAAAATCTTAATAAAACTATGCTCGGCAAATCACCGCATTGTGCTAAGGCTGTGAACTTAATACATGCTGCTCGTAATCGGAAAGAAAAGAAGGAGGGCCACTTTTTATCAGCATAATCGAGGGACACGAGGTCGTTGGGCGGCTAACCTTCGCATTCCCGGTTTCTTTCTTCATTGGCCCGATATCCATTTTTATAAGGGTCCTTAGACTGGATCCGTGGAAGGTCGGGGGGAGACGTTCGGTCGAAATGAATAACTAGAAGGCCAGTTATCGGTCTGTCACTTTTTTAGTGTGCCTCTTTTCCTGAAAGGAAAGAGACCACTCATAGTCCCGTCCAATCCGTCCGTGTCAGTGTGTCTGTGTGTCACACTTTGGTTGTCCGACGATAACTAAAATATTAATTCTTAAATTAAATAAATATTAATATAAATAAAATATAAATAAAAATTAATTAAGTCTGATTAATGGGAAAATTGGCAAGCGAGCAGATATGAACAATATACAGGCTGAGTTCGTTTTGTGACGAATTCGCACCAAAATTGCATTTTATTGCAAATTTTGGATTTGAAATTTGCTAACGGAGGAAAAGGCATGAGTGCCCGTGAGCACTTCCGGATCTGGATCACAATGCGCATGAGCGTACGACCCAGGCCTTGGGCACGGTGCAGTGTCAGCAATAGAGCTGCCAGTTCCCTCCCAACCTTCGTGGCGGATGGTTCCAAGCACGCACAACCCTCCATCTTCCCATCATTTCATCGCGTCTTCACTTTCCCTCAACCTTGGATTTAAAATAAATCCAAGGTTGAGGGAAAGAGAAAACGTTGGATCTTCCCAATTTCCTGAAATCGAGTTATGAGGAGCTCTCTCTTCGTTGAGACTTTCACATTTCATTGCCATATCACGCATCCTCTCTCAGTCTAACCTGTTCTTGCCATTAGAGGCAAGAGAAGTTTCTTACCTCCCGTTATAAGTGTTCTCGGAGTGATGCCGCACGGGAGGAGGAATTGGAAAGTTTGAATTCATCAGACTTAGGCCTCGTCCACGCCACACTACTGAACTAAATTTTATTCGACGTCTGCAGCTTCTAGCTCTAACGCGATTCCCAAACCTGAAGCGTGATGGCGCCTGAATTGCCAATACGACGCTATACACCATGACGGTTCAAGAATAAGTCTCCTGTACTTTTCATACGATATCAGGTTTTTCCCCATTGACTAAGCAAGGGAAGACAGGAATTATTCGTATCGTTTGCCTGGAAAGATTACACCTCCTAAGGAGACTCCGGGAAAGTCTCGCTTTTTTCGATTCATCAATTTCTTTTCAATAATCGCTCCTTGTCACTAAATAAATGGAATATGTTTGCACTAAATGTTACGAAACGGGTATCTCCTTTCGCCATACCTTGTACATCACATGCACAGAGAAACCCAGAAGGTCTTGTTGCAGCTGACCTCTTTCTCGCATGCCAGCAATACTAATGATCATAATGAACGAAACGTAAAAATTGTTAGTCATCTTGTCTTGTTGTTGTAAGTTAGTCTTGTCAGTTCTCCTCATGTCACATCAACCATGTTTTGATTTTTCGAGATGAAACCTTCCCAAATGAAACTGCTGCATTTTCCAAGTACTGGATTCCTCCCTACTTCTATTGAAATCCCGACCGAAAGCGGAATTCATTTTTTTTTTGTAGGGCGCATGGAATCTCGTGCAGAAATAATTCTCTCCCCTCTCCCTTCCGAGCTTTTTTTTTCACCTCACAGTCGGCTGATACGGTCCTCATCAGATGCAGAAGTGAGTTATCTGTGTTGGATGGACGCAATCATGTTCCATCGAAAGATCCATACACAAAAGACTCTGGAGCACTTCCAGTTTGGTGAAGGGGAACATAAAAAGCCAACATAACTCCCATTAACATGTAAAGTGTCAGGATAGGTCATTTCTGCTATGCTACCTTTATTCGATATGGTATTATATTTTGTTTGCATGGAGTGGGGGCTGTTTTATTCTGCATATCAGGAAAGAAATTGGTCTGATTTCAAGGAATTCTCTCTTACAGTGAAGTGGAATTTTGTCTTATAAATCTGTGATATTCAGCCTCTTCAGCGAATTGTACCTAATTATTCAAGGAAAAACAGTTCATATTCATGCAAGTTGATTCATGATAAAGTTAACAATAAATAAATAATGTGAACAGTGACTAATTCACTTAGCCACATTTATCAGGGATATTTGCGACTTTTAATCGTGTCACGCCCACCAGTTCCAAAAGCCAGAAGTACCAGTGCTTGCTTATCACTTCACTGTACTAAGAGAGAATTCCTTGAAATCAGACCAATTTCTTTCCTGATATGCAGAAAAAAACAGCCCCCCCCCCTACTAACAAAATATAATACCAAATTGAAAACAGTCATAAATCCCATCGCAAAATTGCATTGTCAAGTGATCGGAGGAGTCGCTGGGGCTGAGGATTTACGGAGAGACGAGATCTAAAATTTCCTGCCAATAACGTACACATTCGCTTCAGTTCCTCCTATTGCTGTATTCTGCTTATTCTCGCAACAACAAAAAAAAGGTAAACCCCTCTTCCCCCAGAAGAGATCATGTCTTAGGTTTCGCAGAGAAGTAAGCTTCATCGTCGACTGCATCTGCTATTGGTGGGGCTGACGCAGAGCACTCTACTGGAACCTGTGCCACAGGTGTTCCGGATGTTGAGTTCCGGACAGTTCCTTAGTAAATTCTTCTAGACATGTACCATATTCTCTTGAATGACGCGGAATGCGAAGCAAGCCTCCTTGGCATGGGCATCCGTCCCGCATCAACACAGCCTTTTCTTGGTCTCAGCAGATCGCCCGGATCTTCATGTATCTTTTCATTTCTTCACGTATTTTCAGAATGTTTTCATTGTAACTGACATAGCATTTGGCCATGTCTTGTGCGGGTGGGTTAAAAACTTTCGGAACACTGTAATGTATTTGTCATAACGATTTCAATTTCACGTTACTTAGATGTGAATATTGAGTTCGTGGATCGCAAACGTCTCTCATTCCTTCTCACATTATGGTGATGGAGAATGATCTCACATGGATTTCATTCAGACAAAACCTAAACAGCGATTTGCAGTAACATTGTTTTCAAAATGCTGCTTGAGTATAAAAGCCAGGAAGGATTTGGTTTGTAAATCAGGATAGAGTTTTCTACTTTTGATGCACGAAAACAGGAAATAAATCTTGAAAAATTTTTTAAGGTAAATGGTTTTCAATATGAATGTTAGCGTTCGCACGAGTGTGTCCCTTATAATTGTTATGCTAGGACGTGAAAAACGAAGGCAGAATTAGGACATAAATGGAACAGGAGGAAATGATCTGGTGGGATTCAGTGGACTCCACACAGGAAAATGGGGAACTCTTAAGGGGGAAACTTGGATTGGTCAGGGGGATCGTGAATAAATTTCCGCTCCACTTCTAAATTAATTATTTATAATTTTAACGAAAATAATACAATAATTCATGCCCATGTTTGTCTCTTCATGACTTTCCCGACACGAGGGCAGGAAATACTGAAAGACAATAATCTAATCGTAATTCCATAAACTCAGAAGTTCCGGACTCAGATACAGCATGACAGAAAATGCAATTTTCCTGGCGTTCCGCGTAATTCCAAAAAGAGAAGAGTTGGGGAAAAGGTAGTTGGATGGAAAGTACTAGAAGTACTAGGAAAGAGTGTAGTTGCAGTGCGAGGAGATGGAGTAGGTAGAACTCGTGGCCGCTTCTGCCCAGTATGGATATGTCGAGAAGTCGAAGAGATAATCTCCCAATGTGTTGATCATAAGGTTGATCACCAACACGCAAATCAGGTTCATGGCGAACCCAGCCTTCATCTGCATTACATGAGGCAAACCAAATTTTCGGGTTGGAAAGATCCTAAGAAAAAAGAAAGCGCAGGGAAGACATTCTACTACCATGGTGGTGGTCTTCATCTGGGAGGCCTCGAAAACAATGGCATTGGGAGGAGTGGCCACTGGCAGCGCAAAGGCATATGAGCAAGCCACGGTCGATGGCAGCATCAGGTACAGAGGATTCACTTTCACCACACTCGCCTACATCCAAAGGAAATATAAAAGGAAGAGCAATTAAAAAGGAACTGCAATGCAAACTTTTCCTACTTGTTTGTCGTAAAAAAAAATTCATTTTCAAATTTGTTGATGGTCAGGACAGAACAAGAAGAAAAAACCACGTGGGAAAGACTAGCGTCGCTGTCACTAAGTACCATGGTAGATGGAAATTGTATCTTACGAGCTGGGCCAAGACAGGCATGATGAGGGTGGCAGTGGCTGTATTGGAGGCCACCTCCGTTATCAAGGCAGTCATGATAGTAATGATGAAGACGAGAGCGGCTGGAGACAAAAACCCAAGGGTTCCCAACTTCTGACCCAGCCAATAAGACAAGCAGGATTTCTCAGAGGCTTCTGCCATCGCGAATCCCCCACCGAGAAGGAGAACAACCCCCCATGGCAACTTCTCGTGGACGACTCTCCAGTTGAGGAGAGCTTCACTCGACTCCGACGGCCCATCTAAAAAGTAGGAGATCCTTCACTCAAAGCATTATCTCAGATAATGGAAGTGGGAAACGGTCGTGCCTACCTAATGATTCTCGAAAGCACCAGAATTTGGGTTTCGCGGGGATGATAAATAAGAAGACGACAATGAGCATTGCAGCGGTTGCATCTTTGACTTCCAAATCCCTGAGAAACAGAGCAGTTGTTCACTCGAAGTCGTGGATTTCCCGTAGAGAGAGGTGGAACATTGGGAAGAGGACGAGAAGTGAGAGTTCATACCTGTCCCCTTTGATCCAGTCGCCCCACCCGGGGATGAACTGAGGTTGGCGAAAGAGCCAGAGAAGAATGAGAATGATGAAAAGGGTGAGGGTCATGAACTCGTGGAATGAAATGGATCCCAGTTCCTCGTACTTCTTGACGATCACCGAGCGAGCTGCTTTTTCTGCCTTCTCCACTTCTAGAGTTTTTACTTTTTTTTTTGGTTGGTTCCGACGTTCCCTCCACCTGTTCATGGCATTTGATTTTAATATACGATCGAAAGACGTGAGTCCGATCTAACAGCAGATCCCACCACTCACTCAATAAAGAATAAGACCCCCTGGAGCCAAAGCCAGGCGATGAAAATATTGAGTAACATTCCCGGGATGTTGAAGGCCATCCAAGTACCGTAATTGAGCCCTGTCCCGATCCCGTACATCCTATATATTCAGCAGGATCACTCTTTCGACCCTTACATTCCTCCTGGGGAGAAAGAAGCTAGCGACGAAGAGCATGCTAGACACGCAAGCAGAGACATCACAGGATGCAAATGAACGGACTCTGAACAGCGTGTAGGCACCAAGAAAGAATGACGTATTCGTCCCTCACCGCCTTAAGAATGAGATTGGATGTTGATCCGGTGAGGGTTCCTGTTCCTCTTGAGTTAGCCTAATGAGCTATTGTCAACAAGACTTGAGTCCGAGCATCGTGGTAGTCAATGACCTCCCCCTTCTATTTCTATCACTCATCTAAGCATCACTGGTGATATTCTCAATCATGGAGAGGGCTCTTGTTTTTCATTCTTTTATCATTTATCTGCACATCGTGGCATATTTCTTGACGATTACCTCTTTGTGTCACGAATGTCACTTGTGTGTGAGCGTGGGCCATTCCGATGGAGGCCAGTAACGGGGTTCGTGATGCATCCGTGACCAAGAGAGCTGTTTGCGTGACATGTGACTAAACGGTGGATAGCAACAGCACAGGTAACGGCCGTTTAATAATCATAGACCTTCATGAAAGTAAGGTTCAAGAGAATATAAATATACGAATATCTTCCCACCAAGGTCACCAGCATGAAGAAGTGCTTTATGCAGGCAAAAAGGGCGGAGGAGGAAAGAAATACAAAGAAGTGACGTGTTGCTTGGATTTGAGTGGGGTACGACCTAGAGGAGTCCACGGAGATCCCCGCTTCCAACACAAGAAAAGGACCTGATCGGGTCCTTGCCCCCAAGTCCACCAAAGGGGGGGGCACCAATGAATCCGTGAGGATGCCGCCGCGAGAACCACATGAAGATGGAGAATGATGCCCGGGTGACTTCCGCCAAAGGTGGCGGAAGACTTTCTATTTGAGAGAAAAGTCAGCTCGGACCAGACAATGCCCAGGGCAGAGAAATTAGAATGGTTGAAAGGGTGGAAGTGAAAAGGGAAAATGTGTGAACCCTTTGTTAAACACTTTCATATCCTCCCCCCCATTAATGAGTTTGTACATAGAACCTCTTGGTGCCAGAAAGCACATTAATGCGGTGTGGTTGGGAATAGCAATGCTGGTGACAGTTCTCAAGAAAACGTGTTCATGTATGCATGCATACAGGTTTCATGGAGAGGAAGGAATGAGGACATGGAATGATACCGATCAAGAACGGATATGAGAACGAGATTGGTTGCGCTCCCGTTGATGGTCCCCGTCCCACCGATATTGGCAGAATACGCCACCGCCAATAGGCACCCCACCCTTGCACGTCTGTATCCCGCCTTCATGCCATCGTCATTGTCTAGATACTCCTCAAACGGGACTCCCCAACTGATGCATACAACCGAATTTTCAATCACTCAACAATGGGAACCATAGAATTTCTTAATATATGTTAGAGAATTATTCCCTAAAGAAGAAAAAGAGGAGAAAAAATGCATGCACTCACTCGTCCTGTATCTCCAGAACGGGCTTGATGGACGTAACGGAAATCTGTCGCTCTTGCAGACGTCGCATCTCATGCAAATGACTGCGATGTCGGCCTTCCCGAGAAAACTCATCCACCACCTCTACTCCAGAAGAATCTCTACCTCTCTGCGCGATATATTCAATCGATCAGGAAGACTTGTTCATTTTGCCCAAGTGAGAGAGAGGAAGGGAGGGCAGGAGAAACAGAGAGAGGGAGAGAGAGCGAGAGAGGTACGAGACGTTATTTAAGTTCCTACCCGATAGAGCTGAATGAGGACGGCCTCCACGATGGGGACCATCATGGCAGTTGTTGCCGTGTTGGAGATCCACATGGACAGGAACATTGTCGTTAGCATGAACCCCAGCATCAGCCTTTCTCGTTACACATGGAACATAGGATCATGTAGTTCATTGTCCGTCTTTGGAGACTGGCGCTATCACAAAGATTATTTGTTGACGAGGTTCAATACAAATGCCTTGAAATAAAAAGTATTTCATGGGAGTTAAAAGTTAAACAACGCCCATTTTCCAAGGCCTTTTAGCAAATTATTCCGTGGGGAAGTGAAAGCGAAGGAAAACTGACCATTTTTGTGTGGTTCCAACCCATAGTAGGACCCTAAGGGCGATCCGCTTGTGGAGATTGCAGTGCTCGATGGCAATGGCGACAATGAGACCACCTACGCATGCGCACACTTATTTCGTACAATCTTGCTCTCGCAATGAATAGGGACCATAGAGAAAACGTACCGATGAACATCATGTTGGTCTCCTTCAGGTAGACTAAGCACACCTTGGAGGTACCCAGGACCCCAAGGATGGGGAAGAGGAAGACGGGAATGAGGGATGTTATGGCCAACGGGATTGCTTCTGTCATCCAAAATGCCGCCATGATAAGAACGACGTATGCACATCTTCCTTCCGTCTGTAAACCCATTTATCTGAATCATTACCAGTTTTCGGGGACAGCAACGAATCTTCTCCTTGGTTCAATGAACATGCTTTCATTGGCGAAATATTGCTTTACCTTTATTGCCAAAATATAATTTCATCGACTAGAATTAGCGAATAATTTGGAAAAAGACACTGTGCTTCGGCTTGCCTCTGCTTCATCTTCCATGTGCCATTCCCCCCCCCCCCCCCCCCCNCAACTGAATCTCCAACTGTTTCTTGGATATCGCCAACTTCTTGCATCCTTCCAGAGGCTTTGATGAATGGGCCTTCCCCCCCCCCCCCCCCCCCACGTTTTTAAACGTTACTTTGCCATCAAGCCTGCAAGTCTCACTTATTTTAAATGTTATCTTAATATATTATTTCATAACTTTGACATCATCTTAATATTCGGCAGAAGTAATATCAACTTGGGATCTCTGATCGCTCTAAAAGAAAAAGCGTACATATTTCATTGTCAAGGAAAAGTGAAGAGACTTGACTTTTCGTATGCAGCATATCCTTTATCCTGAGGATTTCAGGTGATTGTTCAATAATAATGACAAGAACCCATTGCGGTTTTGAATATTTTGCGAGCATATACAGGGTGATTATAAAGAGACTTCCGTACCTGAGCCCATAATATCTCAGAAACGGGATGACATAGGAAGCTGATATGCGTGCTACGGAGACTATGCTCTCGAAGAAGCCATAGTTATCACATGTAATCAGAAGTGCCACTATGACTGAATATCTCATTAATCGCACCCATTGTTCAAGATGTGCTCCTTCAGTGTCCTGAATGCAATCCAAATAAGTTTCTTCAGAGGGACTGCAATGTTCAAGTACTGTTCGATTCTGTCTCTGTGAGTCTTCTGAAAAAAAAAGGTTCTAGTGGTACGCAGCACACACACAAATAAAATTCAAATTACAGCATTCTAAGACCAACAGCAAACCTCGACGGCATGAGTAAGGAAGTATGGGTCCTGGTTTCACTGATCAATGCGTCCGTGTACGAATTCAGTTCCTGCATGGTTAGATCATTGATGCTTCACATGTGAATTATAGTGACCTTAAAGTTGGGTCTTCTGGATGCACATGGTTCATACATCCGGCACTCCTACATGATTCACTTATCTAGAAGTCGAAACCTTATCCGTACATGGCTCAGCTGAAAAACTTCACAGCAAGTCCATATAACCGCATTCTGGTCTCTGAATGCGGTTAAATGGATTTTGTTTTGTGAAAATGCTGCGTATCGCTAGAACCTCTTTCAGAAGACTCTCATATACAGAGTCGAACATTACTAGAACATTGCAGTCCCTCTGAATGAACTTATTCATTATGCATTCTGGACACTGAAGGAGCACATATTGAACAATTGAGGTAATGTGAAAACCATTTTTCAAAGACTTTCCCTTTCTCCAACCCCAACCCCAACCCCTACCGCAACCCCCCCCTCCCTCCACTTCTCTACGGAACTCACTAACTTTAGACCTAGGCCTAACCGACAGACTGTCTTCGGGTCAGGTCTAGGCACAGGGACGGCCTTTGGCATGTGCCACATGTGCCCCGGCACAGGGAGAAAATTCACCAGGGGTGCGAAAACGTGCCAGAATGGATGAGCTAATAGTGGCTGCCACCTCCAGTTTTACTTCAAAAAGTGGAAATGCCTTCCGTTTCGGCGTCTTCCTGGACGCTAGGGGTTGACCCTTCTTCCTTCTGAAGAGAGAAGAGGAGGGGGGTTTTGGGAGTCTCTTAGCACTGGGCGCCGAAACAGCTAGGGCCGACACTGCCTAGGTCTACCTTTTTGCGTTCAAAAGAAACTTAATCCTCGACTTGTGGGGCCAATTAGACCTATTAGGATGGTCTTCGAGACATCTCGTCGAGGGCATGTAACGTTAGACCAATCGCAGGCCTATTCAGTCTCTCATGGCCCTTGAAAGAGAGTACGTGTATCGTTAGATCGATTACAGATCCGTTTCGAGTTTCATGAACCATTTCAAAGCGGACGAGGAACGTTAGGCCTATCTAGAGTTCCTCGAACCATCTCGACTAGTTCTGAGGAGAGAATGCTTCTCGTAAACATGAAATACCACCTGGGCGCGATCCTGTTAATTTAGGGATCTCCGAATGAGGTATCTCCATATCCCACAAATTTTTCGGCCACTGTTAACCATCGTTTCAATCTCATCTCATGAACTCGGCAAAAAATTGTCTCAGTACTACAGGCGATCTAGACATCGATACGATGGCCGAAGAAGTCATGACTGGCATAATTCCGGCACAGTCTCCGGCAACACTGTATTACGGGACCAGAGCCATCATGCTAAACCAAAATGAACGACAGCTAATTTCATTTTTCGTGGGAAATGATGCGTTGCAAGCAACAGAAATGACACTTTTCATCACCGACAAGTCATTATCTTTCGTTTGGTTGGTCTCTATTCTTCCTAAAACTCTCCAGTTGTGGCTACGCAGGGGTGGGAGGGTGGGAAAGAAAGAATGAAATTCACATCTTCCAAAAGCGAGATGCAGTGTTCTCCACAACCCCGGGGAGATGGAGCTTCAAATTTGCTGGATTGTTTCTTTGTTGAGAGGAAGAAGTACGCCAAATTTCTTTCCAGTTGATGCTCTCTGAGAAGAATACGAGGAGGTTCAACTTTGTTGCGGGAAGGGGTTGAAGAAAGGTAATACGTACTACCGCGCCTATGGAAAAGTGAGACATTAAGCCACAGTGGCACCCCAGATCCCCTTCCCCAGGCACCTTTTCAGCAGCTACAGTGGCTTGATAAAACCATCTCTCCTCTCGCCCGGTTCATAGGAAGTGATTTTGGAAATCCCGGACTTCGTACCTGGCCGTGATTGTCCTCGTACATGTGGGTCCCAATATTTTGGACCCTTTAAAATTAACGGGTGAACCAAAAAAAAAGGTAACTGGAAGTACAATATAATTGTCAGCTAAGTCGTGAGTTAGTTGTTACTTGGCTACTTTGTAGCAGTATTCATAAGTTTTCTGATAGCTACCTCCGATTTCACAATAGATCAGTAACAATCAGCTTAATTACTTTAAGTATTAGCACATTAC